TAAGAAGCATTTGCATTTTTAGAAATACGTGAGTGCAATTAGAAAGAATGAATGTCATAATGTTGTTAATTGTCTGAATTTGAATATGAGGGAAAAATAATGTTATGCATAAACATACATGTTTATACATTGTACATGTATAGTAAATATTTGTCAATGTATGTGATTATATTAAATTTATTGGTAAAAATGAAGGTATTCACCAGAGGTTGGTTATTCTTAATATTCCAAACTCTGGAAGAAATATTTTTGTTCCTTCTTTGGTGTCTAAAAGTTTTCAATATCATTATATGAATTGTTCTAACAGACTTCGTATTTTACCACAACGCTTAACGCTTCTCTTTATAGGTAGGTAGAAATTTCCATTTTCATGTTATATAGCAATCGAAGTATCATGTAAACAGGATATTAACAAAACTACACCGGGGGTGCTTCTAGATACACAATTAATGAATACCTCATACAACAAAGTCTAAGTTGTCAATAAACCAATAAAACGCCAATTAATATTTGTCTTAATGGTTTCGCAATTAAGTATTATGTTTTACTTCAAAAATCTAATTGGACAATGTATTACTTATTGGCGATCAAGGAATAAACATTATTAAATTTTAGTAAGAAATAATTTGATCTATTCATCAGTAGAATAGTTATTTGTGATTGTATCTTACGAAGATTCGGCGGGTAATGCCGATAAAACATCATTTCCATGGCCGGTATTACCACATGTAACTTGTTTTCTTTTTCCAATTTTTTTTTTAAATACAGTGGCGCATCTATTTCATATTGGAATTTACAAGGAATTCTTCTGACGTAGGTAATTTTATGTTTACTTAAAAGATTAACCATCTAACTTTATTTACAGTGTGTCTGCTTAAGTCGGCACCATATGAGAAACTTTTTTATTATCATTTTAAAAAAAAATTCATAGAAAGTTTTCCATGGTCTAAAACTTAAAATAGAACCAATAAATATCAATGAAAAAATAGTAATATATAATTGTTTTTGTATAAAATCAATAATAAAAATGTTTCCCATATGGTGCAAACTTAAGTAGACATATCGTATATGGCGCTTGAGAAGAGACAAGGCTAGACGATATTGAGGCATCACTAATATACTAATATATTACAAATAAAAACATAATGATTATCTTGATGTTTTTTTTTATGGAGCCAACCTACAGTAGTGCTTATTACGCTGATTTTACTTCAGCAAATTTACTAGAGAAAATATTATTTGACCATTTGCTGAAGAATGAGATAAACTTAATAAAATAAGAACAACATTTGCTAGAGACAAAAACAGTGGATCAGGTGGATCTACATAAAAACAGTAGGTCTGGCAACGCTGGTCGTTCCCTCGAATGGTTGTCTGCAGGGTAGTTATTCTTGAATTAGAGGGAATAGAAAACACGTTTTTTTCTCTTTATCTGCAACGCACAAAATTTACGTCTTTGTCTCACTCCTCCCTAAACATTTCTACTACCTGAGATTGAAGAATAGATTTCCTGGATACCTATTCTCTAACTCATGGGAGCACTCCCATACTCCCATGCTTCCATACTCCCATGCCAACGTTGCCAAGTCGACAGAATAACTTTGATCTACTATTTAAGAGCCGATTCTACCGTTGTGTTAAATGGAGATTAAAGTGACATTGTTAATGTAAAAATGTCATTTTAAACTTCGTTTAACACAACGGTGGAATCGGTCCTAAATAGTTCAAATTTCCTTTGTGATAAATACGGACCTAAATCTGGCAAGCCCGCAATTCTCCCTCGCATGGTATAAAATCTGACCTTACTACGCATGTACCTGGGCTAAAAATGAGTAAGCACGATATACCCATCTAAGAGTAAGAGAGCAAAATATATGGGAGCACTCCCATGGGAGCGCTCCCATGACTTAGTGAATAGCTATCCTGGTGTCGAGTCACCGGTCTCCTTGCTTCCCAAATGTGCGGGGCGTAACATTCATGCATCTGTCGTTCTTGGGTTCGTCTCTGTTGTCTCCTGTCTCGCCTACCGAAATGATACCTTAAAGATTGTGTTTAAAACCACTAACAGCTCTGCACACGTTTCAACGTATAAGCATACCAATTTTAACACATAAAGTGCAACAATGACAAATCTGAAATAAACAACTTTTACTTTATTATTTTTTTAAATAATGTATTTCTTAATTAATACTACTGTATGTAAAAGCATTTACTGTGAAGTATAGTTTATTGTCTAGTAGTTTAAGTAAAAACTGTATTTCGTAAGCATTATTTTTTCTTAACTTTTATTTATTAAAACAATATTAAGTAAATCATTCGGACATATCGTAAAAAAAATAATATCCGCCGACGTAAATTAGTAAAATTCATTATATTCACTAATGCCTTTTCAGTATTTAAGTACTAAAAGAAGCAATGAATAATATTTATTAAAAATGACCGTATAATAAGTAAAAAATTGTCAATTTTTAAATATAGCTGAGACCAATAAGGGACTAATAACTTCAAAATCGAGTATTTATAGATCATTCAACAAGTGTGCAATAAAATTATCTAAGAAAGTAATAGTCGTACGCGAGTAAACACTATACTTTATCTACAACTATAGCTGGTATTGAATTTTCAGATTATTTTTGGTTTAATTGCCAATTCATAAAGCTTTTGTAAACGTGCACCTTTCGGTTTGCAGGTTTACAGATTTGTCATAGCACCTGCCTCTAATTTAAATATTTCAGGCGGCTTGCAAGACACCTTGTCTACTTCACACTCCACAGCCTTATCCTTAATCAAATAAATTGAAACGAACTAACTTTGATACTTTGTACAGTGGAACGCATACATGAGTTACAAAGTTGTAATTATTGTGGAAGTCTTGAGCGTCTCATAAAAAGATTGCCAATTATTATTCTGAGGCTTCTACTGAATTAAAAATAAATAGATTATTATTCACTCATACCTAATTTTTATTCAATCATATAATATAGTAAATAAATTAAAATTTATTAGGTATTTAATTTTTATTTATTATTTAATATATTTAGTTTTGCATGAGTTATGTTTTGGTTTTATTTCTGTTTCTGGGTAAGTACTATTTTTTTTTAGTTTATACTTATTTTGTAGTTTTCTTTTAATTTTAGCCCAATGCATGATGAGTAAGTACTTTAAATTTTTTAATTTTTATTTTTTGATTTATTTTCAATTTTAAGTACATAGTTACCAAATATTATTCGATTTGCTTGGTGTTGGTGACTTAATTATCAATATTAAAATAGGTTATATTTTCCTAAAATGCCTTTCCATGTATTAATTTGCATTATAAAGGTATGAAACCAAATATTCAAATAAACAGGCAAATTCTGGAGGAGTAGCGGATCTTCAACAGGCCTCTGTTTTTCAAGCAGCAATGTTCACAATCCTGCAATATGCAGGACAAGCAACACTTAGTTTTGTGTAAGGAAAAAGATGAATACACAGTGTCACCGTGAAAGTGCGCATGATATTGTTTTTTCATTATTATTTAGTTTTCGCAAAAGAGTACATGAACAGTTTCTGCTTCGAAATAATAAAAAATTATTTTTTCTACATCCACATGGATATTAGCTTATCTACACACAGATTACAAAACGAAAAAGTATGTTATTGCCTTCAACTGAACGAATATATTTCATATCCACTTTCGTTTTTTTTTATTTTATTTTAAAAATTATTAAAAGTCATAAATTATTTTAAAATTAGTTATTCTGTCTTAATAACCTAAAATATTTTTTTATTTGTAAATTTTCCTTAGCGGGTCGTATACAACTCGAGTGGATTGTCCACAACGCACTCATACGATTGAGCACTCCGCCTACGGCGTCGTGTTCAAATTTCGTCTTCGTGCGATATGGTCATCATATCCACAAACTACTATTTTCTGTCGATCGGCTATACCTGTCAAATTTGAGATTTAAAAAATACAATAATTTAGGTTATTTCTGAAAATTTCGATTTGTCCATTGATTGGCAGATATATTTGAAAAATCATATTTATGGCACTTCTTAACTATAATGACATTTTGTACTGTGATAAAAATTAAATAAACTTTGATAAAAAATGTTAAAACTAGACCCACTTTACATCAAGTATGACATACTTTTTTCAGCATATTTGTTTTTTTTTAAATATCCAATTAGAAACATTTTAAACAGCAACATATTTCAGTAGAATAAGCCAAAAAATTGCTATGCGAAAAGAATCAAAGTTGTCCAAATTAGTTCAAAAGAAACGACTTGCATTTTTTAAAAATTTGTTAAATTTGAGAGATATACTTATAGCCAATCAACAAAAAAAAATCATCTTATTTTTTTGTTATTTTCGAAGCAAAGACTGTCATGAACTCTGAATTTACAGGAAATTAAATAATAAAGAAAAATTTCTATAAGACACAGACTTTAATGGTGACACTGTATAAAAATATGGTAAGGTAAACCATAGAGCACTAAATGAAGTGTGAATCCAGCTGTATTATTCTGACGTGAATTCCTTAAAACGTGAGCTCCTTAAGACGTTAAGTTCTTGGCAATGAAAGAAATTATGTATAACAGAGAGGACAGCTACATAATATGAAAAGTCAAACAACAATTACAAACAGTTTAGTCTAAGCTCAGATCAGAAAATGAGTAAATGGTACACAATGTATATTGAACATGGAAGGAGCTGCAGACCATCTAATACTTAATAAGCACCAGTTACGGGTTGCATGGGACAAATATTTACCTGTAGATTATTTATGAAACATGGAATATTACACAATGTTGCTGAACAGTCAGAAACATCCACGATCCGGTTGATAATTATATTTTATATTAGATGGTTTAAATCTGAGTATTTATTAAGTATTTATTTGATCTAAAATATAATGAGACTACTCTATTACAATAAATGTCTCTAAAAATGTATCATCTTAAATTAAAAGCTTAAAATATATTTAGCCATAACTAATAACGAATATTTTTTGCAGTTTTCAAAATGCAGCCTTTCACAATGATTTTGTGGGTAGTAGGAATGGTTTTTGCTATATTGTTGTCATCAGTAGCGAAAGCTTCCATTATAAGTTGCCCTCCAAGTTCCATACAGGAACAGATGAACCCTGCTTTGAGACAACTTTGTTATGCAATAGAACAGGCAGTTGAGGACATTCCAAAACAATGTAAGTAAATATAAGTTTTGTCACATTTATTACACCAATAGAGAAAACAAAAATAAATGTTTCTGGAAGAGTAGACAGTACTTTGGTAGTTAGATGTCGAATTCCATTCAAAGAGTTCGACAATTACGTCAGTGCCGTATCGTAAAAAAATAGTGTTTTTCTCAGCGGTGTTATATGTTATATGTCTAGAGTTAATATAGTTTCAGTCACGAAAAAAAAAAAATCATAGCTAATGTATGTAAATTTATAATATACCATTACATGACTGTAGAGTTCGTGTTCTAGCACCAAAGAGAATTTAAAAATTTACTAATAAAAAATTAAAAAGGAAAAAGCTTTAGTTGAGTCAGGTAGTACCTATATGTTCTTTCTCTTCTCTAAAAAATCGTAGGGAAAAAAGTAATATTTCGCAAGGACATGGAGAAAGAATTACATCGATTATAAATGATTTTTGTGTAATTGATAAATAATGACCTAGTATGAATGCAGTTTTTAAAAAAGAACAAGATCTTCAAGTAAAGTTTGAAGTAGGTCTCACAACATTCAAAAAAGTATGAAAAAGTTGAAAAAAGACCTCCGACAACAGAATGTTGTTGTTGGGGAGTCATGATATTAGATTAAAAAGTGTGAAATACTTACAAAAAATTAAAATATATTGTGAAGAAAATTATTTACACATATGAAACATATTTGCACAGTTTGCACACTCGTCCCAATACCTGGGACCATAAAAATAATATTAATCATTTTAAATTGTTATCGGCAGAAGTGGGCAATCATATGCATTTAGGCGCTAAAAATAATTATTATATTGTAATATCGCAAAGCATACTTAATTCTACAAAATTTGAACAACTATTCACAATTTATTAAATCTATTTACTGTACAGTTCATCAAATTTCTAGAGGTGTTCGACGCCCAGACAGAGAACGCGCTACGTGTGACTAAGATAGCTATTGTACAGTCTGCTAAACAAGTTATTTTAAATAGTTTTTAATATTTTTAGGTAATTAAGTTTTAAAAGTGTGGAATAGTTTAGGGATTAAATTGGTCTGATTGGACTTTCTTAGAACGTTTTTAAAAGCAGCTAAAGATAGTATGTAGAATCGAAAATAATTATTATGCCATAAAAGGTGTTTTGGAATTCCTTCAACCTTTTGAAATTGAGTCAGAAAATATAAATTTTATAGGATAGCGGAAAATACCTATAATTTTTTTGTAGGCCTTTGTAAATCGTGGAAGTAGTTTATATTTTATTTCTACCTTATTAAGGAAAATGGTACCTATTATTAATAACGGTTGTTTCTGAAACATTACTAAAATTTTCGAAATTTTGTTTTTCTACAAAATAATAAACTATACTATTTAGAAAAAAATTTATTTCTCTTATAATTTTATAAAAAATAACAGGGGAATATTTACATTTCTTGATCTATTAAACAAAACGGTAAATTATCTCGACGAATGACACCATGTTCTAGTACGGAAGCTAGCTTTACATTTTTGTTGGTGGTTTCATATCAATTTTTTGTAATTGTAGTTTACACGTACATATACCTCTTAACACTTGTTTGCTTTATTAAAAAAGTGTGTTGTTGTGATTTACGTCGAAATAAGTCAAAAACAACTTGAAACCCCATATAAAATCAAAAAGGAGAAACGGAAAAAAATTGAGCCTGTAAATGAACACAACTCAGAAACAAAAATAGCTATCTAATAATAAAAAAATAAAATTTGATTCTTGTGCAGCTTCATCTATATCATTAACTGTTTTTGGTTTTTTAATGGTTTTTCTTGGTGATGAAAATTCCGATATCTCACGGTTATCGATTCTTTTTTTCTCTCCAGAAATGCGGACGACAGTGTTTTTAGATACTCCTGTGGCTGCAGCAACACGATCATTTACATTTTTAAATGGTATTGAAGCTGAATTAAAGTTTCCTTCTCTTCTCATAAACTCTATAACATTGGCTATTATTTCGCGAGATTGACTGTTAATCACGCGGCCTCTTAATTTGCTATTAAACTCCATACTTAGGTTCTATTAAACTGTAATGAGCAAAAAACACAAACGATAATAAAAGAAATGTTTTAGCGAAATTTACATCTGACATTTACGTCTGAATGAAATAGTGAAATACTTGATGCGCAGAGTGTACTTTCATTGCGTAAATCCGTCGGGATGCCTGTCAGTAGTGCTTTCTCTGTCTAGCCGTCGAAAGCCTCTATAAATTTGATGAACTGTATCTTCGCTAAATTCTGACACACCAATGACTGAAATATGGAAAAAAGTATAAAGAATATTCAGAATAAATTCAAATCATAAAATCAAAAAAGTTGAAGATATAGCAGTAAATAACGACTTCGATAGAGTAAATGCAGTAGCAAACACAAGAACCGTTCTAATGACACCAATTAGAGCAATTCATTTATACCTATATAAAACTAGAAGAACAAAATGTAAATTAAATCTCGTTATATTTACGACCCTCTAAATTTACCTTTGACCGAGGCAGAATACGAAGAAATACTATAATGAATGGGGTTCCCCTCCCTCGAAATGTTAATGATTTGGTACCAAGTCTAAAAGAATCAAGTACTTTCGAATTACACACTCTAAATGTCTTGTTTCTAATTTTAAATTTTAAAAAATATACTAAAAATTCTAACAACCCCCCAAATAAAATACCTGGGTGCACCGTTGAAGTTTTAAAGACATTTGTCCTGTTCCTGATTAAATTCCTCTATCTTTTCTCCAGCATCTTCCTTCAAATACTGATGAACATCTACTCAAATATAAATATTCCAAAAAGGCTGGTGAACTAGTTCGTTGGTTAACGTACTGTATACAGTACAATAACCAATGCATCAAGCAAAAGAAAGATGAGACACTTAATTATATTTAGACGCGAAGGCCATAAAGCTACGCGTTTGTGATGGCAAAGAGGAGTTATTGTGGTCTGCAGTAGGCGAGATGTATTATTCTATTTCAGTCTATCCAATTGTATTATTTTATTGTACCATTCTCCTGAAATTAGTATTGGAAAATTAACATACTGTAAATCATAACGTTGACTTCTTAAATCCTCATAAGCGTAGCTCTGTTTTGTTGTGGATTTGATTCTTCAGGTGATACTATTGACGGCAATATGTTTTTAACGATTCGAACCCATGTGCTAAAGCTTTAGTGCGTCATCAGGATCCTTAGGGCAGAAGCCTTTAAAAACCCACTGCTTTCCTCACTCACATAACATGTTAGATGACTAAATGCTTGTCCGATATAACGTGCTTATCCTCTAGCGGCCACCCTTAAGAAAATTGAAGAACTATGTTAATAGAATTAAAATGTATTTATTATTTTTAGATACTGAACGATTAGATGAACGGAACACCAACCTGAATACGAAAAGGCAGGACGTTGACCATGTATTTTTGAGATTCGGAAGAAGATATGGATTATAAGGAAATGAAACATACAGTGGTTTTGTCGCATGACTATTTAAGGAAAATGTTCCAATTTTGAATGGGATACTTTCTAGCTTCAATAAAGATTTTCTTTAAAATTCAATATGATTTTCTTGTTTCTTACATCCTATTATTCGATAAGTTTATTAATTGTAAATGTGTATTTATAATGTTACGAAATAAATCATATTATCTTTATAATTAAATGTTTTAATAATTTATATAAATTACATAAATATATACAGGCTCATAAGTAATATAAAATATTATTATATCTTCCATTAAAATAACCTTGAGTAATTGAAATTATTGGCCAAATTGTCTTCCTTAAATAAAAATAAAAGAATACATACATCATACATATTAGGCTACAAACGGAATCATAAATTCTTAAGGAAACAGTTGTGCCTATTTTCTAATTTAGCTGTACTGGCTCCATGTGAACTTTTTTTCTTTCATTGCTCTTTTACCACTATATTTGACATCGTGAAAATGTTTGCCAACAAGGGCATCGGAAGTGCCATGAATTGGTAGATTTAAGCAAATTTTAAATTCAATAAACATCTAAATTATAATTTATTCGAAAATCTTTGATTTGTATGACATTAAAACTACTATTAAAATCGTAATACATGTTTTCTACGATTATAAGACTACAAAATGTTGGATTTTAGTTGCAATAATATTTCAATCATCATACTACAAAGGTAGAGCCAAAAGAATGATCAAGTATAAAGAGTACTGGAAAACAAGATCATGAAAACTATATAGGGTGTTACATAAAGGTAGGTTATAATAATTATACCTACAAAACATGTTTCATTTGAGCAAATCCAGCCGAATTTTGAGCTGTAAGGTGTACGCTGTTTTAAGTTATGTATGGACGTTTTCATTAAATTTTAATGTTATATATTTTAACTCTGTTGTGCTATTTTACTAGGTACAGTAACATGCTTTTATATTGCTTCCTTTTTTTTTTCGCTAAGCCTATTTAGTAGGCGATGATATTTTTGCTAACAATTTTCATCTGACAATTCAATCTAGTTGTTTACAAATTTAGTTGGTGACAGTTGTCAAATATAGCTGATTGTAAGTTACCATGGAGGTAGCAGGTAGGGAGACGCCATCACGTTGTCCAAGACGCCATATTGCGTTCACGAATCCTTCAAACAGCTAATCGTGGTTTCAATCACCATTTTTTCTATTTTTATGTCGTTTGCAAACTAAATATATTGTACATATTAAAAGTTAAAAATTGGTTGCTTGTGCTTAGCAACCTAATGGATATTTATATGAAGAAATTATCTGAAATAACATTCCACAACTAACTATACAACTTAGTAAACAATGTGCAGGGCCGTATTTGAGATATTAATTGTGCTTTGAGTGAGTGTTGTAACCATGTTAGGGTTTTGTAAAGATGAATTTTAAGTGAAAGAATTTGCTGCAGTTGGTGCAACAATTAAATTCTAGAAATTTACTTCAATTTCATTATAAAAAGCATTTGTCTTTAAACAAATTATGAAGGTATAGAAACGTTTTTAAGTGACATGGATAAGTATAATAGTACACGTAATTTACAACACCGACTCACATTTACAGTTTTTACCAATATGCCAAATATCTCAATACCTTTGTATTCGCTTACATGGAGGTCATAACAATAACTCCACCGGTCAGCAATTTCTGGGGGGCTATTTTTAAACTCGAGAAAAAGTGACTTCTTTCAAGATTTTCATGACAAATGTCATACGTCATCGTAAAAACAGTATTTTTAAAGCCAGTGAAAACTCGCAGACTGTTTCTTTTGATTTATTTCGAGAGGATTAAAATTCTCTCAAGAATTTGAATTCTCATTGGCTTTAAAAATACTGTTTTCACGTTGACATATGACATTTCATATGAAAATCTTGGGAGAAATGAGTACTTTTAAGTTTGAAAATAAGTCCATAACTTACAAAAATTATTAGTAGGTACATGTTGAAGTTTTTTGACGAATCGTCAAGAGACTAAAGAGCTCTTGGCTTATCAGAGAGTTACGATGTGTAATTACTTTTCATGTATAATTTAAAAAAAGGGATATCAGCTGTATACGTCTACAAGACGTATTAGGTGGCTGTTTTTCTTAATCTTAAGCCAGCACAAAAAAGAGCACTCGTAAATTCTTTGTACCGAAAAGTAAAGAATGGAACAATTAGTTAATACAATCTAACAATAATTGTACCTATTTGTGTATTACATGGGCGTTACATTATGTACAATGTCAAGTCATCATTGATTGAATTAAATTAGATTAAATGGATACAAATAAATAATTATAAATTGTAGAAAGAAAATAAAAAGAATTTTTTTTTATTTTACGGGTACTTCTAATTAGTACATAGATAACACATATACACTGACCGACACAAAAAGAGAATCTCTAAAATATTTTCTTTAAAATCATAAAATGTATATTTATTTTTGCTTCGGCTTGGATTTGGTGTATTATTGTTAAGATTATTTAACACTTATTTAGGCTTGGATCCGTAATAACAAAAGTCATTAACATTGTAATAAAATAAAAGAAAAATAAAATGGCAATATTTAATTAAAACAAATATTTAAATAACCATATAAAATCAGTTATACATGTCAAAAAAATTAAATTAATAACTGGTTTTGCCCCCTCTGGCTCGAATACAAGCTTCCATATATCTGTGAATCCCTTCCACCAAGTGTCTTATGCCATTTTGGTCCAACTGTTCCCATATGTCGATTAGCATATTTCTAAGTTCTTCCAAGGTATCTGGAGCTGGTACACGCGATCTAAGTTGTCTGCCCATCATGTCCCAGACATGTTCAATGGGATTTAAGTCGGGGCTCCGGGGTGGCCATTCCATTGTCTCAATACCGACGTCAATAAGATACTGACGTACTGCCCTGGCAACATGTGGTCGAGCATTATCATGCATAAGAATAAAATTGTTGCCAATTAGAGGTGCAAATGGAATGACGTGATCTTGTAAAACTTCTCTTATATACCGATCTGCATTTAATGATCCTCCTTCCACCACGACAAGCTCCGTGCGGTAGTCCGTAGTGATGCCTCCCGAAACCATTACAGACCCACCATTAAAACTAACCCGTGGAACGATATTGCACTGTGCGTACCTTTCTCCAGCTCTTCTCCATACCCTTTGGCGACCATCAGGTGATCTTAGGCAAAATCTAGACTCGTCAGAAAAGAGCACTTGGCTCCATTGATGTATGTTCCAATGAAGGTGCTCTCGAGCAAATTGAAGACGAGCTACTCGATGATGTGGGAGAAGTTCTGGGGCATTGGCAGGCCTTCAAGCAATTAGGCCAACTGCATTCAGGCCTCTTCTTACTGTTCTCTCACTTACATTCACTTCCCGAACTTCTTCAAGTCGATTTCTTGCTTGAAAAGCAGTGGCATCCCGATGTCGAAAAATAAAAAGATGTAAAAAACGATCGTCTATAGGCAATGTGAACTTGTCATGCCCGAACCAGGTCTTCAAGTGTAATTTCCAGTTTCAAGAAAACGCCTATATGTTCTGTGGATGTTCGCCTGTGATACTCCAAAAAGATTAGCTACATAACGCTGACTACGACCATCCTCAATAAGAGCAATGGCGCGAGCAGCATCTGTTGGTGAGAGTGTCACTATTTGAATAAATGTACGAAATAAATTAATACGGAAGGTCGCAACTAATTTCAAACTGAAGTAAAAATAACCCGAAAAATAATTTTAGGCCCTAAAAAAGTGATAAAATGATAAACAAGTTACAAAAAATACGCCAAATATACTGATTAGCAACTTGACAATAAAAAATATCTATATCAACAACAAAAAATAAAAGATAGATGAAATATTTTAAAAATTATCTGTGATTATCTTTTCGTGCCGGTCAGATGTTTTTAAGATGTATTTTTTAAATTCAAATATAGGCATAGTTTTGAATTTAATTGGCAAGTTGTTATAAACTTTAACAATCTGGGAGCTACAGATTAGGTTAGGTTATCTAAACTATCTGATAGAGTTTAGCTGATAAACAATCTTTTAACTACTTGTTACATTTATTTTGTAAGATTTTATGGAGCTATTTGTGATGAAAAAAAAATGTTTCTAAATACATTACCAAAATAAAGGGCAAATGAGTTTTCCTTCCAATCTTGTAGGTTCTACATACATAATCAATGAAAGAAATTCCTAAAAAATTAGCTTCGACATCACTCTGCAGTCTGTATGCAAGTCCTCAGTCCCAAACCACTAAACTAATATATGTCTTCTCATTTAACCTTCCGATACTAGAAAAAATTAAAATAAGACATAATCTTGAAATATATTTATAGAAACAATTGAGAAGGCACTGCACGAATAACACTTTCCATTATTGATACCATTCACAGAAGAGCATTCCATCTAATTAAATGTTCAAAGACAGTCTCCTAGTCTAAAACTTAATAAAAACTCCTCAGATATTGATTAATACGTCTTGTCTTCTAAACTTCGCTCTATTTTCTGCCACTAGTCAGATGACTGATTAGTCCTGTAACTCATATAGGTACAATAATAAGTAGACCTGCAATTTTTTTTGAATATATAAACCTTCAATGAACAGTAAGGATATTTTTCACTTTGTTTTCCTAGAAAAGAAAGAAATTTAATGTGGCATTTCGTCTTTGATTACATAAAACCATTCAAATTTAAAAAATTAAATGATAAATGGAACGTATGTTATATGACATCCGGTTCGCCATATTGTTTGCTTAAAACTACCAAGAAAACAAAACACTTCTTGAGTTGCGAAAGACTTAGGATGGTATTTTAATTATGCACTTTTCAATTTCGAAATTTCTTTTTGTTCACAATAAAATTGTAACAAACAGAATTTAGCAAAATAAATTGATGCTATACATTTATTTTGATCATGTTTTCTTTCTCAGGTTTGCGTCGATAAATTTTCATTGTATATTTATAATATGACACTCATATTTTTCTGTCTATATGGAATGCAGCATATATTTCAGAACCAATTTGCTTGAGCGTAAATTAGATTATC